GACAGAAGGATCAAAAGCTAGATGCCAGTTTGGGCCGCATAGCAATACTCTGTCTCAAAAACCCACATAAACATAACTTCTATTATACACACACACATACACATGTCTATATCTATAGATACAGATATTTGCTTCTAGCCTTGTTTCTTATATAAATTTTATTTTACAATTTTACAATAAAAATAGTAAAGGAAAAATGTCAAAATAATTTTGGGGAAAATCTCACTTTTTAGACATCCATGAACAGGCTAGAAACCCTACAGAAGAAAATATGATCTTGTACTATTAATTCCCTTCTCTCTTACTCTGATCTAAGTTAATCTGGGTAAACAGTGAGGCCTAAGTTGCTTGCTGCCCAATAAATGTTGTCTTGTGACTTTACAAATGAGGAAAAATAGTATGCAGATGGGTTAAAATGACTGTCTCCATTCGCAGAGATAATGGCAGCTTCTAAGCACACACCTCTTTCCAACCACTGACAAAGAATGTCAGAATTGAAGGAATAGAGAAGCAAGAAGTGTAAGGTCATTGCAGAAGACATTGTGGAGGAACTGAACTTGAAAAGAGCTATGCTTATTTTTAAACCAGATCTTACTTTTCCACCCAAATAATGCTTGCTACCAATAGAAAATGTGAGGAATTCTGAAAATTACAAGAAAACATAATTCATTATCACTTCCATAAAAGCAGTGCTACTGATACAGTTCTCTGAAATATTTCAAATTTTTGCTTTGTTGCTCTTGTAATCCTACTATTTCTCAAGGAACATTATGACTCAAGGACTCTTTATAAATCTGATTTTGATTGCTACATAAGAGTCTATGAAAGAAGTTTTGCAATGGTTTTCTTAACCCAGCTCCTCAGTTTTGAATAATCAAGAGGAAGAGAAAGAGCATTATCTAGCCAGGCACCTGTAGCTCACGCCTGTAATACTAGCTAGTCAGGAGGCTGAGATCTGAGGATAACTGTTCAAAACCAGCCCTAGCAGGAAACTCTGTGAGACTCTTATCTCCAATAAACTACTAGAAAACCAGAAGTGGCTCAAGCGATAGGGCCCTTACCTTGAACTGAAGAGTTCAGGGATAGTGCCCAAGCCCAGAGTTCAAGCCCCATGACCGACGGAAAAAAAAAAAAAAAGAAAAAAGAAAAAAACACTATCTAGAAGAATGAATTACAAAAAATGAAACTATCAACTACTGAATTTTAAGGTTGTAGGCAAACTTGCTTTTATTCTTTATATTTTTCTCACTTGTGCAAAGGCACTAATAAGAATACCTACTTTTATTGAGCATCTATAATGCTTTTCATGTGACAGATACATTTTCTCATTTAATTACTATAAAAAGTAATCTAAATTTCTGTTGCATCTTCATTTGAAAAATCAGGTTGGGGCTGGGAAGGTGGCTCAGTGGTAGAGTGCTTGCCTTGCATGCATGAGGCCCTGGGTTCGATTCCTCAGCACCACATAAGCAAAAAGAAAAGCTGAAGTGGCGCTGTGAGCGCTAGCCTTGAGCTGAAGAGCTGAGGGACAGCGCCCAGGCCCAGAGTTCAGGCCCCACAACCGGATCCCCTCCCCCCCAAAAAAAGAAAGAAAAATCAGGTAAAATGAGAATCTGAGGGGTTTTGAATCCAGAACCATCTGAGGAGAAAAGTGGTCTTCTTAACCTTAAATACTGCAGATCCCAAGTGTTTTGTGAATTTGTAATATTGCTGTCATTAAACATATCTTAAAAATGGAAACAGATTGCAAACTGTGGCTCACTTCTTATATGTAAGCAAATAACTTGTTATGTGTTGACTGTGAAAAAGTCTACCCAAATCCCAGGACAGCCAAAAATAAAGAAAGAAAGAAACAGAAAGGGAAAAAAACTCCATCAATAAATACAATCCCCCTTGGTCATGTTTAAATTGTTTAAAATGCAAATACGCTTCTGATTTCTCTAAAATGGTCAGAGGAAGCTGTGTTAATTGCAGCTACATAAATAAATTCTGGATTTTGAGACTGGGTAAAAATTGATTATGCTAAAAAGTATTCTTCTGTAATTAAATGAAAATTGTGCTGTCAGCAGTAACTTACTTTGAGTGGAATCAAGAAATCTTGGTGTGTCTCATTACATAAGATCCTGGCAGACCCACCTCAGCTGAGGTTCTGTTTTCCATAGCAGTTGCGTTTATGACTGCAGGAAAAGTGACACATTGTTTGGTCATGCAATGTAGGACATCATGAAGCCTTACCATTCTTCCATTCAGAAGATGTGTGTTACACTTCAAATTCCCAGGACTCACATCCAGTGGAATGTATGTAATTCACAATGTGTCCACACATCTGTGGACACAAGAATGTATATGGACACAAGCATGTGGACACATTGGCTTCTGTCATGGCCAGGAGCTTTAGGAAAATCAGTTAACATAAAATTCACTTGGTAGATTTTTTTTAAATTTCTAATTCAGACACGTTGAAACCACCTCTTTTAAAAAAAAACTATTAAAGAAGAAACCTCTGCAAATTTTTTTCAAAAACTCAATAGCAAATAATACTCAGGTTCCATACTATTTTAAAAGAGAAAGATAATGTATTTTTGTTTCTTCTTGTTTTTACCTTGTCTGATTATAAATGCAAAGCATATTCATCACAGAAAATTCATTTGGAAAGTACAAAATGTGTAAAGAAACTAGAACAACATCACCCATCATTCCCTTATTCAAAGAAAGACTCAATAACATAGTTCCTCTTTTTTTCTACCCATCTTTTATATATCTGAAATTATTTTTTGCTTGTGCAATTTGGTGATCTACAAGAAAGATGCCTCAGGGGAGAAATCTTACACTGCATCTCTAACTTTAGCAGGTATGCCTACTCTAGTGGGAACTCGGAGTAGCTCAGACAGAGATTGTCAAGCTGCCTACTGGCATGAGCCTTCATGTGAGAAAGTCTGTGATAAAAGAACAAAACCCATTTCTGTAGTAAGAGTGAATATTCCAGACATAACTAAGGAGGAGGTCATGATGAACTATATTCTTAGTAGCTTGGGTTGAATCATATTGGCCTAGCCCTTATTCTCTAAATCCTTTCATCCAAAAGAGACAAGGTCACCACCCAGGCAGGCCAGGAGGCTTGATGGAGAAGGATAACCTCAAGTCAGGTTGAGGTTATGGGCAAGTCAGAGACTTAAAGTGACCAAAAAGTTGGGATTTGAAAATAAAGATTATGAATTTTATTTCCAGACTCAAGTGTTCAACACTGTGTGTTTTGTTTTGTTGAAAGAAAATAAAATGGTTTTCAAGCCCATGGAAAGTAACTTAGCCTTGTACACAAAATCTGAAAGTCTTATATAGTATGCCAGAAAACAAAGGCAGAATCTCTGCCTTCTTGTCTGTCATGGTGATTATTGAAAACTATCAATCCCAAAGTGGTTCCTGTAAATTCAGAGTCTGTCTCTTTCCCTACCATTTGGCGATTAAAGTTCAATCCAGCCTCCACCTAGCCCCGTGTGACACCTTCAGTCATATTGTCTGAGATCAGGCTACTGGAGGAATAGGGATATATAAAAGCTGAGAACCAGTGTCCTAATACTGACCACTTCTTTCTCTCTTTTTTTTAACCACTTCTTTCTTTACCTCTGTTTGGTCTTATCACAGAACCAGCCACTGACCACCTCTTCTTCTACTCCTGATTCACTTATCTCTTAATCTCTCTCTCCCTCTCTCTCTCTGTCTCTCTGTCTCTCTCTGTGTGTGTGTGTGTGTGTGTGTGTGTGTGTGTGTGTGTGTGTATCGGAGTGTGAGCTCAGGGCCTCTCGTCTCATTCTACTCTCTTATTTACAGCTAGTGCTCTATCACTTACTTCTTCCTCTCCTCTCTTCTAAAAGTACCCACTTCCAGCTTAATAAATACAAGCCAACCAAGGCAGCTTCTGTAGAGAAATTCTGCTTCCTTTAGGAGAAGAAATGTCCTAGTTTCCCTTATAGGTCATCCACAGGGAAGTTAAAAAGAAAATAATACACAGTATTATTTTTCAAAGAATTATGCTGACACAGAAAAGACCTAAAGGAGGTCGTTAAGGCTAGGTTCACACCAAAACTAGGGTCCTTCATCCTCTATAACTCAGAGGGAAGTTTTTCCATTGGCTGAAACATCGGTTTGGAAGCCAGGTGGAATTCAGATTCTGTGAATTCTACCTTTGAGACCATCTAGGCTCAGTGGTTTCCTAGCACAGATTGTCTTCACAAGTCACTGCCCAGAGAGCTCCAGAGCAGCTGTTCTCATCTTCTATTCAAGGACCCATGCTGGTAAAGGCCTTCCTTCTCAAAGTGTCTGGTATATCACCTAAAACTGTTTGTGACTGCAGAGAACCCCAATTTATGGTAGTTTAAGTTGTAATTTTTCAACTCTACAATGGTACAAAAGTGGGACACATTCAGTAGAATCATACTTTGACCTGTCCAAGGCTAGCCATATCTGGTACAATACTCTGTCACAATCCAGGGCAACAGCCACTTCCAGTAAGCCAAATAATCAAAGAGCAATTACCTGTGGGTTCGATACCCAGCACTGCAAAACAAACAAAACACTAAGAGTAAATGCCTGATAGTCTACAATGTGTTGTGTGACTAAGCTATGTTGGTCAGCAGCTTAGGTACATTAATACATTTTCTACTTTTCTTATTATTTTACTTAAAGACTAACTACATAACTACCTAGTACCACATAATAAGAAAAAGCATCTGCAGTGGATTTTTAGCTGATTTTTTGGTATATGTGATTCTGGACCTTTGGCTGGTAGTTATTTTCTTACTAGAAAAATCTCATAGCTGATTCACTTCAACACTTGCATACCCTGCAGAAGATTGTCAACCATTTGTTGGGTGTGGCCAGCCTGAATACATTCTTTCACTTCAGAACTCATTTTGATATCTGAGGAAAACTATCTCTGGGAATAAACCCAATAATGTAGCTTAAAAAATCTTTCTCTCTTCATTTTCTTCCCCACCTCCTAGTCAGATACAGAGTTTTGGGATAAGATGCAAGCAGAGTGGGAAGAGATGGCCCGGCGGAATTGGATATCTGAGAACCAAGAAGCCCAGAACCAAGTCACAATCTCAGCAAGTGAGAAGGTAACCAACCGTTTCTCTTCTCTTGTTACGCATGCTGAATAGTTTCCTTATTTTCTTCAGATCCTGTTTTATAGAGAAGTCAATACTTTGTTAGAAACACAAGACTTAAAGATAACTTCATGTCTATCTAATCTATCAGAAATTCTGATAGACTGAAAAAAGAGAATCACCCAATGTTAGAAAGTAGTTTTGCTGGAATGAAATGCTCCTAGATAGTATGGCAGCCAAGCAGAATTTGGATCCTGTCTGGTGGGGCTGTGGAAGTAACTAATATTCAGAATAAACTTGAACAAGAGCTTTTCCTAACCCTACAATATATCAGACAGTCACATAAGTCTGTTTGATAGACCAACAGAAGAGATATGAGTCACAAGGGAGGGAGGAGTGAGATTTAGTTTAGGTATACTTCATAGGTGGCCATTGAAAGACTAGAAAAGAATCTCTGTGCCAAAGGTTATGGTCACACAATTAAGTCAATCCTCAAGGAAATTCCTTAGAGATACTTCTCTGATGGCAGCCCCAGAAAATGTACAGTCAGTCAACAACCTGTTACCTATGATGTCCAGCTGCTATCAAATCTATGCCTTAGAAAACAAACACTTGGTGGAGATAAAACACTTGTGAAATTAGTATAAATGAGTTGAAACATGAAATGTGTATATTTCTTATATTTAAAAACTCATACATGTACTCCAATTAGAATGACTATAATCAAGAATTTTAATAACAACAGATGCTGAAGGGGATGTGAACAGAAGGGAACCTTACTGTATTGTTGGTGGGAGTGTAAACTTGTTCAACCACTTTGGAAAGTAGTATGGAGGTTCCTCAAAAGACTCCACATAGAGCTCCCCTATGACCCAGCAATCCCACTTTGGGGCATTTACCCAAATGATCACAAACAAGACCATACTAAAGCTACCAGAACAACTATGTTTATTGCAGTATTATTTACAATAGCTAAGATACAGAACCAACCCAGATGCCCCTCAGTAGATGAATGGATCAAGAAAACATGGTATATATACACAATGGAATTCTATGCCTCCATCAGAAAGAATGACATTGCCCCATTTGTTAGGAAATGGACAGACTTGGAAAAAAATATATTAAGTGAAGTAAGCCAGGCCCAAAGAAACATAGGTCCTGCCGGGCGCTGGTGGCTCACGCCTGTAATCCTAGCTACTCAGGAGGCTGAGATCTGAGGATCGCGGTTCAAAGCCAGCCCGGGCAGGAGAGACCGTGAGACTCCTATCTCCAATAAACCACCAGAAAACCAGAAGTGGTGCTGTAGCTCAAGTGGTAGAGCACTCGCCTTGAGCTGAAGAGCTGAGGGACAGCGCCCAGGCCCAGAGTTCAAGCCCCACGACCGACAAAAAAAAAAAAAAAGAAACATAGGTCCTATGGTTTCCCTTATTTGCAATAACTAGTATATGTCTGGGACAAACAGAAAAGGTCAGATAAGATGATGTTAAGGGAAATGAACCCCAAGATAGGGACTTAAGTGGTTTTTTCTTCCTTGCTATTATTTCTAAGGAATTTTAAGGTACCATGTGATATTTTGTTGTTTTGTATGTCCCTCCCCCATGGCATAACCCATGTTTTCACTGTATTTGATGTTGGTATAGTTTGGGGAGGGGAAGGGAAAAAAATATATTTAAATAGGGATACAGATTGACCCATTTCAACAATGAGATGTACAAGACCCTATGTCCAAAAACGAACTTTACAATTTAGGCAGGGGAGGGGAAAGAGTGTAGGGAGGGTGTAGTTGAGGAGGTGGGAGGGACATGATGGTAGGGGAAAAACAAAGGAGGAGGCAACAATTTTGGATAAGAAATGTACTCAATTCCTTGTTCATGTAACTGTAATCCCTCTGTACAGTATTTTCACAGTAAACTTTTTTTTAAAGTTATAATAAAAAACTCATACATGTGTGCATGTGTATAGATCTAATCATCTCATTATGTGGAGTAATTCTCAATAATATTCAGTTCTGATGCCTTCCATGATATTTTGTTAATATTTATCAAGTATTTACTTTGCACTGTGCATTGAAGATGTGATGATGAAGAGACTGATTTTAGAGGATTTGCCATCTGTGTAGTGATTAAAATGTCTCTCTCTACCCACAAGTCCCTGACCCTCAGTAGATAAAATAATCTCAGTTATTAGAAACAGCTGTTTTCCACAAAGAATTCAAAGTTAGGTAAGAAGAATAAACACTAATACATATCATCAGACACGGGGCCATAATGCCAGCCCCTGAGGCCGGGCTGGGACCCTAAATCCCTGTTTCTATACCACTACTACATAATCAAATCCTGTGGATTTTGAATTAAGGTCTCATTTCTCTATGCATCTATAGGAAAGGTCTCCATTTGATGTTTTTAGATCCTAGCAATATCATCAATGGATTATCTTATATGTATCAAATTGGAAGGATTTAATGATGACCAATGCTAGTAAGGTTGCAATAAATAATATTCTAAGATACTTCAGATAAGAGTTCAACTCAAACACAGTTCAGCTGTATGTATAAGGGCCTAATGAATTGTCTATATAGCTTTTAACTAAATAAGTCCCTCTAGGAGCCAATCCTAAAATGATCATCAAATTCAAACAAATCTTTGAGCATGAAGCTTTCTCTGTAGCTTTTCTTATAATGTAGAAGCTTTTTTCATTTTTGTGGCGGTTTTTTTGTCAGTTGTGGGGCTTGTGTTCAAGGCTAGTGCTCTACCACTTTGAGACACAGCTCAATTTCTGATTTTCTGGTGGTTAATTGGAGATAAGAGTCTCATGGGCTCTCCTTCCTGGGATGGAAACAAGATCCTCAGCTCTCAGTCTCCAGACTAGCTGAGACTACAGGCAAGAGCCACCAGTGCCCAGCTGAAGAAGTTTTTGAATAACCAAATGTTCATTAGTAAGAACTGACTAATTCAATTGAGTATATCCATAAAAACTTAAAGAAATAAAAATTTAGTGAGGCCTGATAGGACTACAAATGAACATTTTGTTTAATTTATGTGCAGAGAAAATCCTAGATGATTATGTCTATATCCTATATTGTTCACATTTTTCCCAATTAAAAAAAATCTCTCTGTATTTAAAGGATATGTATTTTGGGCTGGGAAGGTGGCTCAGTGGTAAAGCGGTTGCCTTGCATGCATGAGGCCCTGGGTTTGATTCCTCAGCACCACATAAGCAGAAAAAAAAGCCTGAAGTGGCGCTGTGGCTCAAATGGTAGAGCGCTAGCCTTGAGCTGAAGAGCTGAGGGACAGTGCCCAGGCCTAGAGTTAAGGCCCCACGACCGGACCCAAAAATAAAATAAAATAAAAAATAAAAGATACATATTTTATCAGGGATGATACATCCTTCAGGGGGCAAAAACATGCTCTATGCCAGACCAAAAATACAACTATGACAAACTATAAGTATGACACAGTTTGTAGTTCTTCAAAAGGGCTTAGTGCCTAAATAGATGTACAATATGTGGTACATTTCAGAGGGGTGGGCAGCAGCAGCACTTAGCTGCTTTGGACAAAACTTTGTCCAAAGAAGCAGTAATTTTAAAGGAATAACTAAAAAGAGCAAAAGAAATATCAGAAGGAAATCAAACTCCAAAATATCAGTGCTGATCATTTTTTGATTGTGGAATTCTGGATAACTTAGTTTCTTTGTATATTATTCCATATTACTTAAAAATCATACAATGAAAATGTACTGTACTTTTACTAAAGAAAACCAGGAATTAAAATTTTATACATTTTATTGTTATTGTAATGTTGATGTACAAAGGGGTTACTGTTATATGAGTCAGATAAAGTGTACATTTCTTTTTGAACAATGTAAAAAACCCTTCCCTTGCTCCCTCCTAGTTTTTCCCACCCATCCCTACCCACAAGTTGTATAGTTTATTTTCAGCATAGTGTCTAAGTGCGTACCACTGCTGTTTTTGTTCACCCTTTGTCCCTCCATTTCTGGGCCCCTCCTTACCCTCCTGAAAACAGATAAATGAATAAGAAAGACAAAAGGAAAGGAAAACAAAAACGCAACAAAGAAAAATAAACCTCGTTTCCATTTCCTGGAGTTCATTTCAATAGATACTATTTTACATGATCAGATGCACAATGGTATTGTGCTTTTGTGTTCTTCTCCTAAGATTATCCTCCTTTGGTTTCACGGTGTGTGACTGCCTAGAGACCTGTATAATTTATCATGTCCCAGTATGTTTTTTGAGTCATTTAAATTTAATAAATTTATCTAAATTTATCAAAAATTTGAAATTAACTAGATCATACTGAGTGTAAGAACATGGGGATCAAATGACAGATTGTGCAATGACCCATCTTAATGTTGTAGGGATATTACTTTCACACTGAAAACCCCTTCAAGGACTGGCCTGGAGCATTTGAAGAAGGCTTAAAAAGGCTGAAGGAGGGAGACCTGCCAGTCACCATCCTGTTCATGGAGGCAGCAATTCTTCAGGACCCTGGAGATGCAGAGGTGGCACATACTTCTCTTTTTGTCAGACTCAGAAAGTGGCTATCTGTGTTAAGGAGACAAGCAAGCCCCTAGAGGACTCACAGTCATGCTTTCTTTTCCTCCGATGTGGGAAAAATGGACAGAAACAGACATGGTTAACCCCAAAATGCTTCCACCAGCTTATCTCAGCCTATCTCTCCAAACCTATGAAGATGATGGTTGAGTTTCTAGACTCAGTTATCTAAGTACATAGGTTCAGACTCCTATGCTACCTGAGACAAATCCCTGACACCTAAGACAAACCATTGAAACCTTTTAAGTTTTAAGTTTCAGCTCTCTCTCTCTCTCTCTCTATTTCTGTATGTGTGTGTCTCTGTCTTTCTCTCTGTCTCTCTCTCACACACATACACACACACACACACACACACACACACACACACACACACTTTTTTTTTTTGGTCGGTCATGGGGCTTGAACTCTGGGCCTGGGCATTGTCCCTGAGCTCTCCAGACAAAGGCAACCACTTGAGCCACAGCGCCACTTCTTGTTTTCTGGTGGTTTATTGGAGATAAGAGTCTCATAGACTGGGCTGAGAAGGTGGCTCAGTGGTAGAGGGCTTGCCTTACATGCTCAAGGCCCTGGGTTCGATTCCTCAGCACCACATAAGCAAAAAGAAAAAAGCTGGAAGTGGTGCTGTGAGTGCTAGCCTTGAGCTGAAGAGCTGAGGGACAGTGCCCAGGCCCAGAGTTCAGGCCCCACGACCAGACCCCCCCCATAAAAAAGAGTCTCACAGACTTTCCTGCCCAGGCTGGCTTTGAACCACAATCCTCAGATCTCAGCCTCATGAGTAACTAGGATTTATAAGCGTGAACCACCAGCACCCAGTTAAGTTTCAGCTCTCTTATATGTAAAATGGAAATCATCATAGTAACTATCTCATTAGGTGTTTGCAAAGATTAAAATAGATCACACTAACAAATAAGTCAGCCTAGTTCCTGCCACATCGATATTTGGGCCTTCATTATTATTCATCATGATTGGTTTATGTACCAAGAATAAGTAAACTTGTCTGTAGTAGTATTCTAAATATCTTGTTCATCAAATTTCTTAAAAAATTGTTTTATCTGTACTGGAGTTTGAACTCAGAGCTTTGTGTTTACTAGGTAAACACTCCACAGCTTGAGCCATGTAGTCTAAAGTAAAGTAAAATTGAACTAAGAATTGGAAGTGAGAACGAAAATATTGTGATTTGTATACGTGTGTGTGTTTAGCCTTTCCCACTCAAGGCTAGCACTTTACCACTTGAGCCATAGCTTAACTTCTGGCTTTTTAGTGGTTTGTTGAAGATAAAAGAGTCTCACAAACTTTCCTTCCTGGGCTGGCTTTGAATCATGGTCCTCAGATCTTAGCCTCTTGAGTAGGAGGAATTACAGATGTGAGCTACTAGAGCCCTACTAAAATGTTTTTATTTTTGAAAGATATATGAAATACTTTCATGATTATTGATAAGTACTATGCATTTTACGAACTTTTGTGTATGTGTTACATTATTTGACACAACAAAGGTAAAGGAAAGCAAAGGTAAAGGAAGGTAAAGGAAAAAGTATACATTTCCATATCAAATTCATAAGTGAAAAAATAAGGCAACTAATGGATTAAATTTTTTAAATAAGGTAATTAATGGGTTGGGAGGCTCAGACTTCCCAGTCATTCCCGACAGAAAATTTCACTAGCATTTATCTTCAAAATAACTAGCAAAAAAGCAGAGCTAAAGACCCAGCTCTGTTGGATCTAGCTAGAGAACCACTGTAGCTCTGTTGCCCACTATTCTGGAAAGAGTTAACATTTTATGTGTTTATATGATATATTTCATGCTGTATATCTTGAGATTTCTTGCTATAAAATTTAGGCTATTTAGTGACTTTTTGTTGTTGTTATTTTTTCACCCCTTCTCCCTTTGTTCAATTTGACATATCTGCTGATTTTAGGATAAATAATAGCATGATATCTCAAAAATTCTGAGATTTCAATAGTCCTAAGGTAAAGGAAAGAGTAAATACTGTGCAGGTTCGGAAATAATGACTGAGGATCTTGACCAGATGTCACAGGGAGAGTGAATAAAGAAACATGTCAGCCTGGCCTTTCCCATAGCTCTCACTCAGAGTCAGAGTGCTTTGCTAGGGGATCTGACACAGGCTAATAAACCAACTACAGAGGTAATCCTACTTCATCTTGCAATGTTAATGTTTCTTTGTTATTTCTGTAGGCATGGCAATTCCTCGGGATTACCCAGGCAGAGAATGAAAATGAACAAGCAGCCATTGTCGCCCTCCAGAGGTAGATGAAGCTAAATGTAAAATTATGGGAATGGTGGACTTTATCAATGGACTTGCTGTGCTTCCTGTTAGTCCTTTGACCCTTATTAAAAAACAATGTGATAAATGTGGCCGGATAAGGACAAGGATGTCACATATGAATCATACTTACCTCTGGAAGTCAAGAATTTATATAAAATCACGTTCTTAAATCTTACCTTCTAATCTACATAGTATCATTGATACTAGTATCAAAGAAAGTCTACATTAAAAGCAGTCATAAAATAGACTCGTTAAATCTCCTTTTAATTTTCTCTCTTTTTGCAGCATCTAAACATTTTTTGAAAAAATATACTCAAAATTCTGACTGACAATACATTTGGGAGTGGGTATAGGAAGAAAACATAAGTGTACAATCACCCACTTATTTCTTAGAGCTCTGGTTAAATTGTGGAAAAACTTTCTACAAAATAGGCTTGTACTTTTCCTGCCCTTTCTCATGAATTCTTTTACCAGAAAGCTTTACTAAGAAAATATACATAAAAATAGGGATACAGGTGGACCCATTGCAACAATGATATGTATAAGATGTTATGTCAAAAAACCAATTTACAACTTTGGCACAGAGGGGGCGTGGAGCGGGGGGAAAAGGAGGAGGAGATGGGAAGGGATAGGAAGGGGAAACAAAGGTCCTCCTCTGTACAGTATTTTCACAATAAAAAATTACAACAAAAAAAGAAAATATACATACACAAATCTATCCCTATATTTCATACAAATATATATATATGAATGTAAATACAAAATAATTTCTGCTTGTATGAATAATAGAGCTTTGGAATATTAGAATGCCAGCATTCTTTTTTTATTCTTATATTCATAGTAAGTTTTTTATTGTGAAAATACCACACAGAGGGGTTACAGGTAATGAGTACATTTCTTATCAAGCATTGTTGCCTCCTCCTTTGTTTTTCCCCTTCCATCCCTGCTTTCCTATCTCCACCACTACACTGCCCTCCACCCCCACCCTAACCCCCGCAAAAGTTGTAAAGTTCATTTTTTGACATAAATTCCAGTGTTCTTAATCCTTGAAATTTTATTCTTTTATATTCCTATATTTCTACATTTCAAGTTTCCATTGGCACCTCCTTGGCAAAGTGCCTGGGCTTTTGCTCATCTTTGTCAGCTGTCTCCTACAGACAAGAGAAGTGGAAATTAAGAAAGGCCAGGATCACACAAACATTGTGTGACGGATACATCCTTGACTCCAAATCTGGGTCTCTCTGAGAAGTGGTTCTTAACTCTATACACACAAGCATAGTAGAATTATTTGAGAGAGAGAGACAGAGACAGACAGAGAGACAGACAGAGAGAGAGGGGGGGGAGAGAGGGAGAGAGTGGGGGGGGGAGGGAAATCAAAGAAAGGGAGAGAGACAGAGACATAGAGATGCCCAGGTACACTTAGAACCTATGGTTTAATTAGTTATTACTGAGCAACTCGAATTTAAAGTGGATTTAAATTTCCCCAGGTGTTGCTAATACACATTTTTTTCAAATGCTTTATTGTGATTAAGTTATTACATAATTTCCCAAATTTCACAGTATTGTGGAATAGTGATGCTTAGTTAAAGTCACAAACACATTCTAACTTTCATGGGGCAAATTGTCTATTGTGGTCTATGACATTTATGAGTTCTATCAGCTTTGCAATAGTTATTTCTTCCACATTGCGTGATAGAAGTACATTTGTTTGTTTTGCATAGCATCAGCTTGTTCCCTCTTTCCTACTTGTTCCCTCCCTCCCAACACTGCCATTGAGTTGCTTAGTTCATTTTGATCATGTCCAGTGCAGCTAATGTGTCCCACTGTTGTATGTTTTTCCCTGATTCCCTCTAGTTCTGTCTCGTCCTCCTGGTTTCCCTCCGGTGTGCACATATATACCATGTATGTGATCAGCAGCATGTTTTATTTAGTAGTGATTTGACCAGATGAGTGGAAGTCCTTTGTTTCTTAAGTCTTGTTAATTTTATCATATTACCTTACATTTTGGATTTAACATCCGCTTATCAGGGAGACCATATGCCGTTTTTCTCTTTGCTCTTGGTTTACCTTGCTCAACACGATTTCTTCTAGGACATTTAAAATTGAGAATTCGGCCAGTGCTAACATGTATCTGGGTAATGGCAAACAACAGTGGCATTCAGTGCCACCTAGGACTTGCTACTCAAAAGTCTTATCCAGATACTACCCCTCTCACCACTCTCTGAGAGCTTGCTAGACTTGCTACCCCTTGGACACCCACCCCAAGCCTACTTACTAGAATGTATAGTTGTATACAGAACTTCTACACTTTGTGTGTGTGCAGGTACCAAGGCTTACCCACCCCAGGCTTACTTACTAGAATGTATAGTTGTATACAGAACTTCTACACTTTGTGTGTGTGCAGGTACCAAGGCTTGAATTCAGGACTTCACCCTCTCAACTCGCTTGCTTGCTCACATTTCTACCACTTATGCCATGCTGTCAGTCCAGAATTCTGCTGGTTAATTGGAGATGGAGTATCTCAGACTTTTCTGCCCAAGCTAGCTTCAAACTGAGACACTCTGGATTTCAAACTGCCAAGTAGCTAAGATTATGAGCATGAACCACCAGCATCTTTCAGAACTTACACACTTTGAAGTTTGGAAAGTGCTAGAGGACAGTATGAAAGCATGAGGAAGAGCAGCCATAGCCTGTCTCTCCAAAATGGTCATATTAGTAGTCTGAACACATAGAAATTTCTCCTTTCTCTGCAAAACACTACAGAGTTATCTCTGAACATCCAAATTTGGCTCACATCCAGTTTGGGAGAGAGAACATAATAGAGCAGTGTTAAAATAATGATAACCCTTACATCTCATTAGATTAACTGCTAATAATTTATGTGAAAGCATTAGCCATGCTTCCTGTCATTGTAAAACCCCTGGTTAAGATTACCAGAAATGTCAGCCTTCAGGACAATACTCATTTTCTTTTAAATATAACTTTCAAATACTGGCTAAAAACCAAAGCTGATTGTGTTTGTTTTGCTTTCTTTCAAGGTGCTTAGAATTGCAGCCTAACAACTTAAAAGCTTTGATGGCCTTAGCTGTGAGTTACACGAACACAGGCCATCAGCAAGATGCCTGTGAGGCTCTGAAGAATTGGATCAAGCAAAATCCAAAGTACAAATACCTTGTGAAAAGCAAGAAGGGATCTCCAGGCCTTACTCGGAGGATGTCTAAGTCCCCAGTTGACAGGTATCCTTCTAGTATAGCAAGCAGTAAATACTTACATACACAACTAATTGCCTTAAGATTAATTTGTGAACCTCACATCTCACTCCAGGAAGAATAGCACTTAGAAAGATGGATGCTGAGATTTAGGACTTCTTATTAGTTAGCTTTCCAAAATCATTGTGACAAAAGGCCCTGGTAGTCAGCTTATAAGGAAGACATTCTTGCCTTGGCTCTCAAGTTTGGAGGTTTCAATAGTCAATTGGTCTAGCTGCTTTGGGGCCTATGGTGAGGAAGCCCATATGATGGGAGCATGTGGTGGGGGAACCTTCCCACCTCATGAAGCAAAGTCAGATAGGAGGGAGCCAGGATTCCAATGTCCCTTAAGCACATGTTCCCAAGTGACCCAACATCTTTGACCAGGCTTCACCTCCCAAAGCTTCTACCAACTCCCAACAGTACCATAGGCTGGTGACCAAATCTTCAATACATGGGTTTTTGGATGATACCACAGCAGCCATCCTCCAGCCAACCTTGGTAGATCTTATGTATGCATATGATCTACACTCTGGGCACTCACATTTATCTGAGTACCATATTTTATAGCCAAATGTATCTAATTCACCTAAAGGATAGTAAGTACTGGTGCTCTGTGTTTTATAAAATCTAAGGAATGAGTAAGTGGAAGTCCTTTCTTCTAGGAATTTTACTTTCTATCTCAGCAATACTCTAGACAACTTAGCAGCTACAGCACACACAGGCCAGCAGACCATTCCTTGTAAAGGCCTTTCTTGGTACACTCTGTATCTGTCAGCAGTACTTTTTGGGAAAACCGGTTGTATGTTCTAACACTTAGCAATAACAGCCCCATTATTTGGCTAATATAGTTTGTGGAAATTTAATCAAGTCAAAAGGGTGTTAACATTCAGTCATTTATCTTTAGCCTATTTGAAATATAAATCTTTTTTTTTTATCTTGTAGCTCTGTTCTGGAAGGAGTGAAAGAATTATATCTGGAGGCTGCCCACCAAAATGGAGATGTGATTGACCCAGACCTGCAGACAGGTCTGGGAGTGCTGTTCCACTTGAGCGGGGAGTTTAACAGAGCAATAGATGCATTTAACGCTGCCTTAACTGTTCGGCCAGAGGTAAAAAAAAAAAAAAGCCTAACACTGAAAGAAATCATAAGATTCTCTGTAACCAACGTTTCTGTGGGGCTACATTTCATATATTTCATCTACATGCTATTTCTTTCCATTGTTTAATTGGTACTGATTGGGACTGATACATCACTGTGGATATTACCTACCACTGAAATATCTAAAATAGAAATATTAATTATATGTCATCATCAAATACTAACTTCTATTTGATGAAAGAAAGTCATTTTCCATGAAATTTTTAAAATAATTTACTTCACCATGATCCTAGTCAGTGAACACTGGACCATTTTTTAGCCATCTTTCTTCCTCTGCAGAGAAGTAGAGGTTTGTTGTCACCATGGCTGTGGTCGTTAGGTTGATGTGATTTTTGCCATCAGGACTATTCCTTATGGAACCGCCTTGGGGCTACCTTGGCAAATGGAGACCGAAGTGAGGAAGCTGTGGAAGCCTACACTAGAGCACTGGAGATCCAGCCAGGCTTCATTCGCTCCAGATACAACCTGGGGATCAGCTGTATCAATCTGGGAGCCTACAGGTAAAGTATGTAACAGGCAAGACCCACCATGCTCAGGACTAACCTCAGAGGCAGAATCACCTCAGAGGTTATCTGCGAGAAAAGTATCTCTTTTTATCCACATATTTTCCTTTTGCTAACCCTTTCGCCCCTGAGGCAGAGGAACTCGTGGGCTCTATCTGTGGAGAACTTCAACCATTCGGGCATCTTGGGAAGAGCAGCCCACTTACTGGAGAGTGATTCAGCTGTCTGGGATTAGGACAAGTTGTCTAGGTTCTCAACATCCCTAAGAGCAACTTTCTGTGAACCATGAGCAAGCTAATCTTTTTTATTTTCCATTTAAGAGGAGGAGGTCTCCTAATAAGGAAGTCTCCTTATTAGGAGAGTAGTTTAGGGGACTTGGCAACTAACTTCAGAAGGTCCTCAAAGCAGCATTCAGTGAAGCAAAACCAAGAATTCAAGTTTTCTAAACTGAATGTGAATAAAGTTAGAAGAGAAACAAACGAAAAAATTAATGGGTTTATGGTTAGAAATCATTTTCTCATGACTTGTCATTGTCACTCAGGACTCTATCTTCTCTATCGTTACCCATTAACAAGGTCCGTTATTACTTAGGGCAATGGAAATGTGAAGTTATTTTCTTCCTTCTTTTTCTAGTTTAAAAAAATTCTAAATAAACAAATACTATTTTCATTAAACATGAAAACTAAATGTTATTTTTCAACAAAATAAGACCATGTAAACCTTTTCCTGTTCTCAGAAAGAGCCATAGTTTCATTTACAGACAAGTCACAGTTCTGCAATTTACAAGTTTTATAGTGCTAGGCATAAAACTTGAGCTGTCTCCTTGTGTGCATGTGTGGAGAGAAAGACAGAGAATATGAATGAATATCTAGCTGGATGACTGGGCAGGTTAGATGTAAATGAGCAGATGCTCAATACCTAATAAGCATTTATTATTATGACTATAGTTGCCATCATCAGTATTCTTGATTACTTGCTTACATCAATAATCTGAGAATAGCATTTGTTACAAACAAATGCTTTGTATAATTTTCAGCTGTCAAATATTAAGGCCTTAAAAAACAGTTGTTGCATTTTTACTTAAAGGATGTTACAAAGAACATTAGCCATTCAATTATATCATGTTCTCTGTGAAGATTTTTCTAAGATCAAAACCAGGAAGAGCTGAGTGATTCCCTGAGCAGCTGGTTTGTTTGATTTTTGTGGACACTCAACTGTGCTCCTTCAGATGTGTTCTTCACATCCCTGTGCAAAAGCTCAGACTTGAAGCCAAAGCACTTCTCCACAGATCAGCTCTCTGAATCCTGCCTGGCAGAGTCGATTTTTATACTAACCTCATTCCTAGTTTTATCTGGTTTTTCTTAACTGACTTTTAAGCACATTTTTAGGCTTTATATCTATCTATCTATTTAAATATGTATGCATATATAATTCTCTTTTTTATAACACATATATGTAATTTGATGATACACCTGAAAGTAAACATATACAACATGTAGATATTAAATTCAATGAAAAGAAACTTTTTTATAGCTTCTGGATTGGATTTTGCTCATTATAACTGCTTTATATAGAAAATAGTACTTGTGGAGCCAATCAAATATATTGTTGTGGGGGGGAGGAAGAGGAAGGCAGGGATGGTAAGGGGAAACAAAGGAGGAGGCAACAATGCTTAATAAGAAATGTACTCACTATCTTTCCCATGTAATTGTAACCCCTCTGTATGGTATTTTCACAATAATTTTTTTTAAAAAGAAATGTACTCAGTACCATCTCATGTAATTGTAACCCCTTTGTACAGTATTTTCACAATTAAAAAAAACTTATTAAGAGGGGGAAAAAGAAATTTCAGCACCACATTGGAAAAAAACAAACATAATGTTGGCATTCACAGACATAAAATTCATTGGGATAATGATTTGCCCAAGACTGTGACAAAAATGGCATTGGAAACTACTGAAGTATGAAGTTTAAATCCTTAAGTCTCACAAGAACAGGTCAATTTGAGATTGCCGGAATACCTGTTAAATTTCAATTTCAGAAAAATAGCAAATAATTTGAATAGTAAGTATTTCCCAAGTAGTAAATGCTATTGTTCATCTGAAATTAAGTTATAACTGTGTCTTGGATCTTTGCTAAATCTAATCCTGATCAATAATTGGCACATCTCAACTAAGCTTTATACATCTTTAAATATACCAAATGTGGGAAGTCTTGAGAAATGGTAGTTTGTTCCTAATGCAGGGGGGTGAGGGGGGAGGAAGTCAAGTGGAAATCAATTAATGCTAAGAAGTTTCACATAAACAGAAAGTATCACATAAACAAAAAATAACACTCAGTAGGAATAAGGCTCAGAAGGAAACCAGAAGCAGTACAAATATATGCACATGCATGAAAGATACATCCCTCAAGAACTACATGTGTCTATGTATATAGCTGTAATAACTGTTATAGCTATATAACAGTTATTTGTCATCTCACATTTTCCACAAAGAATCAAAGCTAAGTCCTGGTCTGGTGCTGTACAAAGTGGAAATAAAGAAAGGAGACTGTTGGTGTGAAACTTGAGTATACTTTAGAATGTTATATTTTGTTAACAGGAGCTCCAGAGTAGAACTTAGACTAATGAAACTTAACCTTATAAAAAAAAATGAGGAAGTTAATCCCTTTGCTCATAATGCCTTTAGTATTAGTATAAAAATGACTACAAAGTGAATGCTTTTTAAATGAATGGACTTTTCGTTAAACATGACAGCATGCACAAACAAGTTAAAGTTATGTGTGCAATACTTTTGAAAACTTGGAGATTTAACAAGGATTTATTTTAGTTTAACAAGGTTAAAGTAGGGAGAAATAGAAAAGGAGAAACATATCTTGCTCCTCTTGAAGAAAATGGGAATTAAAGACTGAAAACTTTTGATATATATATATATATATATATATATATATATATATATATATACAATATTCTGAATCCTCAAAAGGACAGTTAAGGAACAATATTAGACTATCTTACTAAAAAATCCTTTAGCAACTTGACAAATTTAATAACTCATTCTTCTCTTTCTCTCCAAATACCTCTGTCTCAAGACTGCTCAAGACTGAGAGCATCTAAAGAGGGGGGATTCTAAGGTCTTCTTCCCCAGAGTTCTCACAGGTCTAGGAGTATGAAGGCAAACTCAGAGAGACATTGCTGTTCAAGCTACCACCCCGTGAGGAGGGTCAGAAGAGACTGTACTGTGGATTCCCTTTGCCCATCCATTAATAAATCATTCTACTCTTACTTGAGTGATCAGGAACCCAGAACAAGGGTGACTAGGAAACCCACCCTAATTCTTTGCCCAAGATTACAAACAACATGATTTTCTCCAGCTGCATTTTATGTCCAAGCTGATCTAACAATATGCACAGCATATGCCTAGTTCATATATGTTGGAATTGGAAATCCAGCCTCACTGGGGATTTTTCTTGGATGTTTAATAACTACCTTACTGGATTAAATGAGATCAAGTATGTAAAAAGCTTTTGAGAAAAGTACAGCAGATACAAATGAAGGTGGAATGATTATTCTTGCAGTAATCTATTTTTAAGTGTACAATACAAGGTTAGAGAGATGCAGAACTGCTGGGGAGGCTGACGCCACACAGGGACATATGGTGTCCAGAAGCAGTAGTGCACTAGAACTGCTTTGGCATCTAACTCATCTGTGTTCTTAGGAGTCCTTTATCCTGATAGCAGTTATTGAGAATGTCAAAAGGCTTTTGTTTATATGGCTTATATCCATCAACATTTATAGTATTAGATTGAGAACTTTTTTTTAATTTGATAGAAAACTCATTGTATTTTACTATAAATATTTTATAAGACAATAGCTGTTTTCCAAAACTATGTTTAGAGAGAACAATGACATTATTTCATAGATTCTGAAAATGTCTTGCTCACAAGCCTTGAAAATAAGAAGTTTGTATAAGACTAAATAATTGAGACTCAAGCCCATATAGTCTAAAAATAAAGGCAAGCTCCACCTCGACCTACATCTCATATTTCTAGCAGGAAAAATTACACTACTTTATTTTGAGTGGAGCAAATTCTCTCTCTTAAGATCTACTTATATAAATCCCATCTGCAAATGGATTAAGCCTTTGCCATCATTCCTAGAGTAGGGGAAAATCAAAGGCATGAATGAGTCAGTCAGCAGTGATTGTTCTTACTCCTTTCCATGCGCCATTCCTAAAATAGTTGGCTTCCTTTCTGTTTTAACACAAAAGAATAACAAGAAAATCAGGAAGTTGTTTTTCTGATCATGTAACCCAGAATAGAGGTAATTCAGGATTTTGTACTGAAAGAACTTAATATATTCGTTTAAGCTTGCTACCTCTGAAATTATTTGCATTTTAAGATTTTTCAGATTTCTTTTTCTCCCCTCTTAGAGAAGCGGTCAGCAACTTTCTCACTGCCCTCAGTTTGCAAAGAAAGAGCAGGAATCAACAGCAAGTTCCTCATCCTGCAATCTCTGGTAACATCTGGGCTGCCCTCAGAATTGCCCTGTCTCTGATGGACCAACCAGAACTCTTCCAAGCAGCCAACCTCGGTGACCTGGATGTTCTTCTAAGAGCTTTCAACTTGGATCCTTGAAGGAAAAACAAAAAGAAGTAAACATAAAGAATAATAATCCCTCGCCTGTGTTATTGTACTGACAAGTGAAAAAATATTTTATTATGAATTTCAAAAAAGATATATCAGATATTCAAAAGGCCATGATCATATAACCCAAGGGAATTAGTTCCCACTGACAATGCCCAATCTCTGTTCAGATCCAGAAGCCCAAAATGCTGTAAGCAGAGCCAAGGTCAGATACAAAAGAAGAATTGAAAGACTGAAGATAAACCAAGATAAAGTATGAGTACTCTTCAGGAGTTGCAAGTGTATTGTAAAACATGTTCTTTGGATATCTTGTTTCCATCTGCCCCTGAGGGCAAATCTGAGGAAGTTGTTCAAGGGACTTATGAAGAAAGCCCTGCCTGAGTTGAGGGAATTCAGACTATTTCTAACCTGTCCCTTGAAATTCCCTCTTTCGCAAGACTGAACATAGTTTGGGCCATTGGTGCATGCACATATATTAACTCAACTAAAGACACACATTGCTTACCCCTGCTCCAGTTTTCACTTTTATTGTAGCCCTTTGTTTCCAGAGAGGGAGCTTTGCTGGCAAAAGCAGTTTTGCACTAGAAATTTTTGCTGTTCCCAATCAAAACTTTTCTGGGAATGTATATATGCACTTTAATATCTTACTTATGCCTTGCTGGAGGTTTGTTTTGTTGCTCCAATTTTTAACTTGGGTGTGAAAGGTTTGGGAACTGAGAAGTGTTAAATGGACCAAATAAAATGTTATGGAAAATACTTTTTCATAGTATAGGACTTTGAAGGAGTGTTTTCCTGAAAGCAGACATGACATAGAGTGTGAATATGTCAAACACATATTACTGACATGCATTTTGAAACTGTATGAACATCAATAAGAGACAATATACTGTCTCTTCGTGCATTCTCTGCAGGGAAAAAACCTCGATAAGACCATGCTTTCTACTGAGTTGGCATTAACTTTGCTTAACTGTCATATTTTGCTGGCTTTCTAACTGCCCTGCACAACAATATTCCTTTTAAACTGTTACTATTTGAAATTATATTTCTTGAGTGATAAGTACATTTTTCCTTAAAATGATGTGTTTCCTCAGTTCCATACTAACCTGAACTGTTCACCTTCTTGCACTGTAAGCAATAGATCAATATTTTGTCACTAGATGTTAATGGATGTCTGTGGTTTACTATGAAAAATGCATGCCCCTGTGGCACTTATTTTAAACAGCAAGTATCAGGAATTTTCTATTGGAAGGCATTTTATGTGATTGGTAAATTTCCACTTAGTGTTTTAGAGCATTTTGTGAGTGTTTGGAGCTTGGTAATTATATTGAAAGGTACATTTTTTAAAAGTATTAGAACAAGTATTTGCAAAATGCTAACCAAAATATCATTTTCCCCAGGTCCAGTTCTAGGAAGTTGACCTATTCTTTCTCTCCTTTCATCTTCCACAATCTTCTCCCAACTTTTATATAGTCTTTGATTATGAAAATTCTGTCTATAAATATAAAAATTGAAGTCAGCCAGGGACTGGTGGCTCATGCTTATTGGGGAAGCTGAGATCAGAGGATTGCAGTTCAAGGCTAGCTAGGCAGGAAAGTCCATGAGAACCATCAAAAAGCTGGAAGTGGAACTAGGGCTCAAGTATTAGGACAACAGCCTTGAATTAAAAAAAAAACAAAGGAACAATGTCCAGGCCCTGAATTCAAGCCCCAATACTGGCACCAAAGAAAGGAGAGGGGTGTCAAGACCTGGGGAATTGACTACCAGTGAGGGAGAAATGTGCACACATGCTGAGAGATTAGACTACTATGAGTCTCTGTGTGGATTGAAGTCCAGTAGTATTACCTTAAGCCCATGGGTTGTGAAGGATCCTTAAATTAAGACTGCATGCAAGTCCTTGAGGCTTATCGATACTATAGCCTACTAGCTTACAAAGACTAGGTGAAAGCAACATCATGGTCATAGGCTTTGTTGTTCACCAGTGAAGCCTCAACAGAGTAAAGTAATGGCCCCAACTGGACAGCAGGCATTAAGGCATTCATCCCTGAGCATAAGTGACAACCCACTGTTGAATCATGTTTCTCTAAGTCTGTGCAGACAACTAAAATGCCACAATAGTTTCAAAATGGCACTCTGTAGAATGTTAGGAATTAGAAATAGTCTGGGAAGAATTCTGGGTACCAGTCTCTAGCTCATGACAACTGCCTGCTTAAATATTCTCATCTCCTGTTCCCCCTCCACCCCTCTCCCACCCCCTTCTGTATATTTGCAGACTAGGCAGTTGACTTGAATCCATCAGAGGCCATTAAGAACCTCTGAACAAAGGATTCTCCATGAACCTTTTCTGTCTGTGATGGTCTTCTAGAGGCAACTGAATTTGCAATGATAAAGGTATGCAGCATTCTCTATCCAGCTGTAACTACATACTAGAGATCAATCACAGTTCAAACCCCTAAAGTAATAAGAAGTGCAGCAGTTTGGTTTATTTATTTTATTTTACTATTGGAATCCAAAGTAATTTCAAACTTCAGGAAGTTGTTTCAGGGGAGATATACCCAGTATATCTGCTAGTGTCCATCAGCACTAAAATTTTTTAGTCTATTGTCTGTCAAAACATCCAGAAGTAATGCTTAAAATTTTTGCATTATTTAATAATGCCTTTACAAAATCAAGTAAAATGATCACTTAAAAATGAATGAAACTTCATAGAAAGAATATCACCACATATCAAACAGAAAAGCAAGAATGTTCTTTATTCACTATATAATACGCATTTTAATATGTACACGGTTTGGAAGGCAGAACTGTTTTGGGCATCTCATTTTCATGGCAAGAAATTGTCATTTAAATTGCTCTTTCCAGTCAGAAAATTGTCTCGGGTCCCCTTTGGAGACCCTCTGGGAAAGCTTTGAGCATGTCAGTGAGAAACAACAGGCCAAGAGCTCTTGAAGGGCAGGACTCATTTGCTATATGAGCTTTCAGTTACACTAAGGTACTTTCAGGCACTGACAGTACATTCCATGGAGGAAAGCTCAGAAAGAGCCAGTGATGTTTGCTGAGCTTCAAAATATATAACTATATCTGGTAAGTCATATCTATGTGCCATTCCTAATCTGTGAGGAAGACTGGGTTAATTTCAGTGACCCTGCATTCCCTCTGTATTCTTCAAACATCATTAGAAAACTTTAATAGAAAACTAGGAAGTATGTTTTTTCAGCCAGCATAGATTCCACTAGAATGGCAAATGTGTAATACAGATCTGGGTAGGACATGGTTATGTTCAGAGTGTCAGCTCATAGTCTTTCAAAATAGGGCAATTATTAGGTTGGTCATTGGGCCTATGTCTAAATTCTTATACAGATGAATCTTTCTTGCCACACAAACAAGATTGGGACAATAGTACTAGTCTTATTTAAGGCTCTTAAACTCTTTCCCCAGTAAATTGTCCAAGAGTTCCTGAGGCATATAGAGGAAGCAAGAGAGTCATTTTGTGTGCCTTCCTCATTCACCCCTGGATCATTTCCAGAAAACTAGAGTGAACTTCAAGGTAGTTGTTGTACTGGAATTGATGTGGTTGTTTAAAGACCCCTTGAAATGCTTCTAGAAACATCCTGGAAACAGGGTATTCAGTAGGTTTATTCATTCATGTGCCATCTGTTTAAGCCCTCACAGTTTAGAGATTATTACATAGACACAAACCTGATTTCACCTTTGAAAAGAGTTTAAAATTCATTCTCCATTCAGACTGTCCTACAATCTCCCTCTCATCTCAATGTTTGTAGAACTGGTTGAAATTAAGCTGTTTTGAATGAAGAAGTAGATACATATATATTTTTAAAGTATTCATAGATGAGCTCTGACAAAGTTTGTAAAAAGGCATTTTTTTAAAAAAAAAGCAAAACATGTAACCTCAGGTACAAAAATATTGCATGCATAAGTACTTACAAATCAGCCTACTCAAATAATAACCAAAGCATGCAAGGTAACTTTACTGAATGTAAACTCACACAGTGCATGATCCAGTCTCATAGATTAGATTTTTTTTTCCTTGCTTCTGAACAGGAATTGTCATGAACGTCTTGTTTTAGTTTTATCTGTTTAATTGTCCTGCCCTTGAGATTCTCATGCTTTCAGACTGAACTTGACAGCTGGGATCGTTCAGCACTGTAGCCAGTGCTGAACTAATTTCTGAGGAACCCAGGTACGGAAGTCCATGTGCAGTTTTGTTTTTTTTTTTGATTGGTCGTAGGGCTTGAACTCCTGGCTTGGGCACTGTCCCTCAGCTGTTCAGCTCAAGGTGAGCGCTCTACCGCTTGAGCCACAGTGCCACTTCCAGTTTTCTAGTGGAGATAAGAGTCTCACAGAACTTCCTGCCGGGGCTGACTTTGAACTGTGATCCTAAGATCTCAGCCTTCTGAGTAGCTAGGAATACAGTCGTGAGCCACAGGTGCCCGGCTCCATGTGCTTTTCTTTCACTCCATGTGTTTTTCTTTCACAGAAGCTGAGGCACAATGGAACCAAATCTGAAACAAATCCATGTGTCTGAATGCTACTAAACTAAATTATGTTTTTACCTCAGCACAAAAAAAATTAGACTCTAAATTCTTGATGATGTATTTCAAAAGAAATGTAAGTCTAAGAATTAATTAGCAAAACATATTTTAAATACGGAAGGTAGATTAATGTCAGACATATGAAAATCATGATAAGGAAAAATTTAAATGGGGCCTGTTATGGAGATGACGGAATGTGGCACAGAGTTGAGGGCAGGGCATAATTCATGGCATTCAGACAGCCATCTTTGTAGTCATTTGGGTTAATACCCTTTGAGAAACTGGATTTGGGTAATAGGTGTAAAAATAGTGAAATCAGGGCATGTAAGGTAATTTCATGGTCACTAAGATTCAGCTCTGAAGTCTTCTGTTGCCTTGTTCTATGACCCTTATATTATGAGAAGACTGGAAATGGAGAGATCTCAATAAAGTAGTGGGGGGTCTTATATAATAACAGCTTTATTACCCCCTTGTTACAGTCTTATATTCTCACATACAAACACACAATCTCAAAGAACTGAATCCCACCCCTCCTCCCCTCACATACAAACACAATCTCAAAGAACTGAATCCCACCCACCCCCTCCCCACACACAGGCAAAAGACCATTGTAGGGAGGCATTTGAATATATAAGATGCAGTAAAAGTAGAAAATTAAGGAATGAGTCTTATGAGCCTCTCCTGTGGAACTCTGCCTTTCAGTTTCCCTACCAACATCCTTTGCAGAAATACTAAAACAACACACTATGAAATAAGGGTCCAGTGTTGGACTAATTTCTCAGGACCTGCTTTCTACCAGAGAAAACTAACTTGCAGTGTTGCAGTATACAGCTCAGTAGAACACTTTTAGAAGAATCTGCCCTGAAAAGAACATTAACACAAAAAACAGCAATGAAGTAATTCTTTGTTCAACAATATAATGTGTAAATTTTAATTTGGGTTTTTATTTGAAGTTTTTAGAACAGGAAATGGTACGATACAAACAGGAGTAAGGGAATACACACTCAACTAGGTAATTTGAACACTAGACATTTTCACTAAGATATGCAACATTTTTTCATGGATATCATAAAAGGATTGGGCCATGTGAAAAAATGTGCTTATTTTAAACTAAGTTATCAGTAGTGAAAGCATACACAGTAAATTAAAATTTTTACTAATTTCCTTTAATTTTCATAAATATCATCTGACCCAAGCCCTTCTGAATTATGATTGCTC